GACGAGCAGCTCAAGTGCATGTCTGAGTGGTCACAGGAGCGTTTTTGCTTAGAAGTCTATTTACTTAATTTTCCTAAAAATCTATGAACTAGATTTTTTCTGCACTGCTTCTATTTTTTTAATGTTCCCTGTTATATAAAACTACGCTCCTTGTTTCTCTACCTTCTTTCTTTCCTCCTTTCCGGAACTAAAGTCTTATGTTCATTACATAAGAGCATATTAACCTTTTATCTTCTACACCCACATAACACTTGCCTGATTTCTCCCCCTGAGGATTAGGCACCTCTCCTCCGGTTTATAGCAGGGCAAAGTTAGGGCATTCCACTCCTGCCACAAGGTACACACTGGGTTTTCCTACCACTTTTATGTGCTCTCACAGAACTACACAATATTTTAAAATTGCTCACAAACTTTTACCTTTTACCTCAGATTCAAATTACTAGAACAATTTATTAAAAAACAGATGTTTTCAACAAGAATCTGTTTACTGTGCCTGTGCACACACATACTAGACAAAGTCAAGGCCATAGCGCTCTTTAATGTAAGAATCACTACCCAACTGGTTTCCACATGCATGGCTCACATGCACGTACAATAGGCTCCACCAACAAGCAGACCCTCAGGACTACCCAATCCTTCTAATCTTTGGTGCTTCTCATAATTCTGCCCTTTTTGCTGCTACCTCTGAAGTCACGATTTGAAAAATATTAGTTGCTTTTCTGTACATACTATAATTGAGAAATTTTACTTGAATACTTGAGATAAGGTTTATGAAATTTTAATTATGTAATTTTTATGTATTCACTCAGTGAAAGCAAAATAGTTTGAGTTGGGGATGTGTCTCTATGGTAGAATGCTTTCTCAGCATGCATGAGGTCCTGGGTTCAATTTCCAGTACCACCAAAAAAAACATAAAGCAAAATAGTTTTTGATGTAGTTATTTCCTGAATTCCATCTCATTTGGAAAGAAAATTGAAAACAGCACTCAAAATGAATAAAAACTCTAGTACTTTCTGAACATGAAGATAATCATATCTTTTACAAATATACAAAACCAAATTACCATTACCTTATAACTACAGTTTTAGCAAATCTTAATACAGAACCAAATTTGCAATTCATAAATAATCATAGTGAGTCTATTCTTTATCTGGGACAATTCAGAATTACATCAGTCTATATACCCTCAGGTGAGATACACAGTATCTTTTATTCACTTGGGCAGTCATTTAAGAAATATCGTTTGGGGGCTGGGGATGAGGCTCAAGCGGTAGCGTGCTTGACTGGCATGTGCGGGGCACTGGGTTCAATCCTCAGTACCACATAAAAATAAAATAAAAGATTTTGTGTCCACCGAAAACTAAAAAAAAGAGAAAGAAATATCATTTGGGCATTTGTAACCTGGAAATATAGTAGGAGATTCTAGTGAAAACCAACATGGTTCTCTATCTTCATGTACCCTCTATTCTTTTGGATATTTCCCACTCAAATACCATACAATTTTAAAAAATGCTTGTAACATGTATGAACAAACTGGACAAAATCAGCCAATTTATATTCCTAGCAGCATATATAAGCTTTATACAAGGAGTAGTTACGTAACAGTATATTCAAGTTATTATGCATACACTATATACTTTATCAAAAAAATTTTAAGCATTTCAAGTAAGTCTTGCCTCTTTTGTAGACCGTTTCCCCCCAAAATAGATGAACTTGCACCATATCTCGGTATTCCCCAAGGCTTCAACAGTAACAACTGGCTGATACAGAGTAAACTTCTAGGGATACAGCACTAGAGTATACCTAGCAAAAGCTGCCCATAATACGGTCAAAGTACTGATTTTTGAAAATATCTGTGGATTTTATATTTTAATACCTGAAAGACATACTATATTCCTACTAAAATACATTTTAAAGGCTATGTTAAGTATATTTAATTTCAACACAAAAAATCATGCCATAAAAATAAGACCTGAAGTGTCTAATCCAGGTCTTCCATCTCTATATCAGCTTAGTCTAGCTATTTTCAGGTGTCCAGCAGATCTCCTAATCGCCACCCTGCTACTGTGATGAAGATGAAGGGCATCACTGACACTAATACACAAGCAGAATCCCCAAGTCATCCTCTGTGCGCAGTAGAGGAATCCAGCCCCAGGTCTTGTGCATGCTAGGCAAGTGTGCTACTACTGAGTTATATTCCCAGTCCCTCCCCAAATTCTTTGGGGACAAATCAGGCCTACACAGGGAAGGGCCACTTCACAGTATTTCGACATTTTTCTTGATGAGATGGTTCAAATAGCAGAAAAGGATTAAAAGTAACAATAAAATGTGTGTGAGTACTTTGTTTTGACAACAGTATTACCCATATAAGGGAAGAAAGCAGAAATCCTAAAGGTATTAAATACCATCAAATGAATGATGTTACTCATGCAGAAATGAACCTAAGATAGTTTACAGATGTGGTGGGACCAAAAATGTTTTTACTCAGTAATTGTTCCTCTGCTGGTTTATCCAAAGAAAATAAAGAAAGTATGCACCTGTAAAGATATCCAGTTGTTTATAATGGTAGAAGTCAGCAATGATAGGAGATCAGAAAGAAATGTCATCCAAATATTAGGCAGCCCTGTTGTAAACGACTCTAATGTCCTCAATGGACTTCAGTATTGGGTTTAGACACTAAGCTTGCCTTCTTCATTGCTTTCTCCACAGTCCAGCATTGATGGTAGATAAATATGGTTCTATGGCAAACTGTACTCAGAGACATTCTACCCTGCTGCCCCTAAAACTCAAAATAGTACTAAGAAGAAAGCAGTTTAAAGAACACAAAGCTATCTTAAAAATGAATTTGAACTTGTATTTGAGACATATATTCAGGCAGGGAAGCTTTTACAATGTGTTCACTTCTAGGTATTGGTTTGTGGGTGGCTTTTCTTCCTGATCTCTTAAAAGGCAACATACCATATTCAAAATGTGATTACAGGTTAATACAAGAGTATTTTCTTCTTTGCAAAGAATCCAAGAAAGTATCTTTTAAAAAAATAAATCTAAGAAATTTCAAACACTATGAGCTGTTTTGGTGCAGTTTTCATTTTCCAGGTTCTAAAATTAATTTCCATCTATTCAGAAGCCTGTTAAACCTAACAAAAATATTTGTTCAATATCATTAATTAGTGATAGCATTAAATTTGCTTGGCATTATAATACCTTCTGAAAGCTGTTTAATAAACAGGAGAAATGTGACAATTTCAAAAGGGCCCTGACTTCTTTTCAAAAGGCTTCTAAAGGAGCTGAACTTAGTTCTTTGGAAAGGTGCCAGCTTAATGAGAGTTGACTAGGTGAGTCAGCCTGCCTGACTACAGTAACTATATACCATGCCCGTTCTACACTCAGCTCCTTTCAGGTTCCACCCGAAAAGAAACTGAAGTCAAATATATTAAAATACTAGATGGATCTGGAAACATCCCCTTTGAAGATTTCTTTCTTGAATCTGCAAGTAATCCCAAAATGCTACTGATGAAGGAACTGAAGTATGTTAAATCCCATAGTTTATTAGGTGCTACCCTAATAAACTACCTAATCAGTCCTCCTGGCGGTGCTGCCCACTGCAGTTTTTTGCCATCACAAGGTAAAAGCCTGACACTCCAGCAGCAGAACAGGCAGCCAGAGGGCACTATGAAGGGCGCATGGGGAGATTCATCAAGACAGGGCCATCAATTACACAGTGAATCTCAGCAGCTAGGCTGCTCCAGAGCATACAACTCTTCCAGTTTGGAATACAAAGAAAAACTTAAAATGAACACTTCACTCAAAACAGTAAATCAAAAATCATTGAGCATGATTTCATTAAAAAAAAAATTCTCCTACTTGGCTTTAAAAATGTATGAGATGTTTTTAAAGCCACACTTTAAAATGTGGCCAACTTTTTTAAAGTTCTCAGGAATGACGAATTTATAGTCTATTAAGGATACTTCCTCTGTTCTTCTCAAAGGAAATATCCATGGAGACATACTGGGAAGGGTTGAGGGAATGACAGAAGAGAGATGAATGAGAAATTCTTCCTTCGAGGAACCACCAAAATTGTCTAATTGGAAAAATAAGTAATGGCATAAAATAAAAGTACAAAAAAATGCAGAAACACTTACAGGTGAGTTTCTTAACTATAATTGTTTGTAATGGGGAATATGTCTAGGTATCAGTCCAAGCTGAAACCAAAACACTCAAGATGATAACCCAGGATAATCTGTTTTATGCAAAATGTCCTACACTGAAAAACCTTCGTGCTAGGCCTGTGAGGTTCTCAAATAAGACTCCAAATATCTGGAAGAAACCAAAAGGACCCAATGCCACCAGCCGAGATTTTTAAAAATTCCTCATACTCAAAAACGTTTCTAGTTCTATGGGGGTTGGGGGATGTCAGCTCCCGTCCCATACAATTGAACACACAGGCACACCTTCGCGACCCAGCCATCTCCTGAGGTTCCTCGGTTAACCCTCCCACGTGTTGCTGGCTGGCATCGCTGCCGTTCACCAGCACCTTCCAGGCCCTTGCTGATGATGCCCATCACCTGCAGCCCCTGACCCTCTGAATTACCTCTGCACTAGCTACCCCGAGAACCCCAGGGCAGACCTGAGCATCGGCAAGGGTGCCCAGGGCCCGAAACGCTGGTCTCGGGCGACAGGCCACGGAAGAGAATCCAGATGGACAGGGAGCATGGCGTGGCCGGCGAGGAGGCCAGCCGCCCTGGGCGACACTCACCGGCCACTAATTGTTAAGGAGAAAATGCCTGGCCTCCGAGCCGGGGGACGCGCGCGGGGTAAAACCGCCCCCGCCCGACGCGTCGGGGTGGGGGTGGGGAAGAGGCCCCGACCCCTCCCCCGGCGCCGCCGCCCGGCCGCCGGGACCCTCCCTGAGGACCGCGCTAAGCCCCCCCCCCGAGGAAGCCGCGGCGGGGGCCGAGAGGCCGGGGCGGCGGGGCGCGCGGGCTCGGCCGAAGGCTCACCCGCCGGCGAAGAGGTGAAGCAGCGTGTTCTCCTTCTGCTGGGTGCCGGTCGCCATGGCCGCGCCGGCTCTGCGGCCCGCCGCAGCCGCTCGAGGGATGCGCGAGGTCGCCCGGTCTTCTCGCCCGCTGTCCTCAGGCGGCCTCCGGGGCCTCCATGCGCACGCGGGCTCCGCAGTCCCGCAACCCCCGCGGCGTCGCCGCCGGTGCCTCACCGGCCTCTGCGGCGAGAACCCGGCGGCCAACGAGACCCCGGCGCGCGGCCGTCACGTGGCGGGGGCTGGGCCGTGACGTTACTCCGCGGCGCGAGTCGGAGGCGGGGTGCGGCGGAGGTGTGGGCCCGGATCCCGCGCGCCTATTGGGCAGCAGGAGGATGTGGGCGGGGAGACCTCCCTGGCTGGGGCGGGGTCAGCCCCGAGGCGGGCCTAGGCCACCGAGTGGATGAAGTGGGAACTGGCAGCAGCTGCCTGGTACCAGCTCCCAGGCGGCGAAGTCGCACTGGGCAAGCGTAACCAGGCCCTTGACCTCGCCGTTTTAAAAAGTTAACTTTGTGATTTTTACGTGTGCAAAGAATTATACAAATACACCCAGCTTAAATGATCTTTTAAATAGACTGACCTCCCAGTGCATCCTAAATATTTTGTGTGTGCCTGTGTTTGCAGTGCTGGGGATGGAACCCTGGACCTTACCCGTGCTAGCCAAGCATTCTACCACCGGGCTACACCTCAGCTCATCATTTTGTACATTTAGATATACAACACTTTTTGATTTACAAATAGTATCACATAGTGTTGTATTTAGCAATGTGCTTTTTGACTTTTTTTGATCTTCTCCAGTCCAGACTGATACATCTAAACTGTTTCTCTACTTGTACTTCTTGAGTCGCTGTCAAACTCAGCCTGGCATTTTATCTCCTGGGCTGGCTGGGTGGAGCCTTCTCTGGTTACCCTTGCAGCAGAGTCTATCTCATGACTCCACTGAATATCCTTACCTGGGCTTCTGCATTGGCTTTGTTGATATATTTAGATTGCCCTTCCCACCCTGGAAGGTGGGCTTCAGGAGAGCAGGAACTTGGGTTTTGTTTTTTTCTTGCTCAACGATTGTTCCTGACATGGTTCTTGCTGCCTGGTAATGCCCAAGGAACTAATTAGTAAATGTCCCATATTGAACTGATCATTCTTCCCCTCCTCCAAACCTGCTCAACCTCTCCATTTCCTGTTCTGATGGTGACTGCCAGTCTGCACAGGGACTAGTGCCAGAAACTCCTTTTTCCTTAGACTCTCTCCTCCTTTCTCTCAACAGCCCACTGACCTCAGGCAGCCGCGGGGGCCTCCATGCACCCCTGGCTCTTCTAGCTTCTAAAATTCTCCAAATCTACCTGTTTCTCTGTGTTCCCTCCACTACTGCTAGGGGTTTCAGGTCTGCATGGACTTTACCGACTTTGCAGGGGGAAACAAAACCCAAAAATCTCCTTTTCTCACAGGCCACAACTTTACCCCTTTGGTCTGTAGCCCTTTAGTCTTTACCCTTTATAGTCTGTTGGCGAATAACACCAACTGTTTGTGTTCTCCTTCCTGGAGCTGCTGAAAGCAGCACCTTGACTAGCTCAAGCTGCTAGATGTGCTTGCTGTGTGTAAACAGAGAGCCCAAGCAGGAAGGGAGCTGTGAGCAAACAGAAGCCAGCAGCCAATCTGTATTTGATTATGGGAACTCTTCAGAAATAACTCCCAGGCACAGTCATCCAAAATGCAAATACAGTGATTGCTCTATATTAAAGCCATTGCTCCCAGGCCTAGAAAGAGGGAAGCCATGCTAGTGCTCTGTATATGAGGGAAAAGGAAAGAAGGAAGGAAAGGAAAAAAAGGAAAATGTGGTCGTGTTTCCTGAATCTACTAAACCCCTTGCTTAAGTCACTTAGGAAGTCAGTGTTCACCTTACCTGAAGATGACTTATGAGGCAGCAGGGGAGCCTAAGGAGAGTTCTGCCAGGCTGTTAACCAAGCTGCTCCCCTCTACGCAGGATTCTGAATCAGGAGATGCCATGGTGGGCGCACAGCCCTTACCTTGGCTGGTGTTGGAGGCTAAGACCTAGGCTGCTGACTCCAAGTTAGCGCTGGCCTCCTGCTTTCTTTTCCCAGGGATTGTCCATCTGGTGCTCAGCTGGACACACAACAGGCCTGCCCACCTTCATGTCAATAGTAACAGTGCCTTCACATTAGAGGTTTCCCAAGGTCTCTGTGTGTTATCTCACTGGGTACTCACTGTGTTGGCAGCACTGTTGTTGTCATTCCCTTTGTGTGGATATGCAGGATAGATTTGTCCAAGGTCACATGACTAGTTGGTGGCTGATGCAACAATCTTTCAGCATCTGTGCCTTTGAATGTGCTGTTTCTGCCACCTAGGCTGCTCCCCTTCTGCGGGCCAGACTCCCTCTGAACCTTGTGGACCTCCTCCTCTTCCTCGCTGGAATTCTAGCAAGACAGCCCAGGGCTTGGCTTCTCTGTAAGGCCTCCCTATGCTCGCTTGGGAGAAGTCAAGGGCTTCTCCAGCCTGTTCCCCATCACTCAGTGGAGGGAGTGTGGCGATGACGCCATGTGTGTAGCTGAGCCATACTGCCCACTGTTAACTCCTAGGCGTGCATGTTGATCGGAGTGAAGACTGGGAAATTTTCAGAGGAAAGTCTGACAATGTCTGTCAAAATATAGAAAAGCACACTTCCTGTGACCCAGCAATTCCATGTCAAGGAAGCTATCAGATTCAACACACGTATTGAGCATTTACTCTGTTCTCAGCGGTGTTCTAGGCTCTGCGGATATAGCAGGGAGGCAAATGGGTAGAACTCCTTAGCAAAATGTGAACAATCAAATCCAGTAACATGACCAAACAAGAAATGTCCCAGGAATGACAGACTGGCTTCACATTTGAAAATCAATCAATATAATTCAGCAAATCAACAGAAGGAAGGAGAAGAAAACCAGACAATCATGTCAACAGATGCAGAAAAGCATTTGATGAAGTTGAACATCATTTGTGATAAAAAGCTCTCAGCAATTTGGGAACAGGAAGGAATTCTTCCATCGGATAAAAGTTGCTAATAAACCTACAGCTGACATACTTAAGAGTAAACAGATGCTTATCTGGACTCTAAGATTAGCAATGAACAAAGGTGTCTGCTCTGTATTCATTTTGTGTTAGAGGTCCCAGTCAGTGCAGTAAGGCAAGAAAAAGAAAGAAATGGCACAAAGTCTGCTGCCATCAGACTCCATCTTGCTTTATTCTTGTTGCCTTTCTTTCTCCCAGGATGTGGCTGCCTCTCTGCATTGGGGAGCGTCTTGCCCTCAAGATAAGCATAGGCTATCACTAGAAGATTATCCCCTGTGGCTGGTGTCAAAACACCGGACTGCTTGACTCAAGCTCCTGCTCGTATGTAACCTCTAATTTAGTCCTTTGATAAGTATCCCCTGCTTCCCCAGAGACTTGGAAAAGGGCTCTGGAGACAACAGTCTACCTCCCAGGTTGCTAGCACCCTCAATAATGGCTGCTTTCTTCCCCCCAACATTTATCTCTTGGATATGAACTTACATTTTAATGAACCTTTGGAGCCAGAGTTCAGTAACAGCCAAAAAGGGAAAAGTAAAACTGTCTTTAGTCACAGACAATGTATTGTTTACTAGAAAGTCCTAAGGAATCTATATAAGAACGACTCAACCTAGTGAGTGAATGTCGTGAGGTCACAAGAAGTAAACAATATAAAGATATTTATATGTTGTTTATTATTATAGCTAGGCTATAATTTGAATATGAAAATTAAAAAAATCTATCCAGGCATGGTGGTGTGCACCTGTGATCCCAGTGACTGGGAAGGTGTGCCAGGAAGATCAGAAACCTAAGGCCAGCCTCAGCAAATTAGCAAGGCCCTGAGCAACTTAGTGAACCTATCTCAAAATAAAAAATAAAAAAGGCTGGGAATGTGGCTCAGTAGTAGAGCACCTCTGAGTCTGATCCTCAGTATAAATAATAATAATAATAATAATAATAATAATAATAAATTTAAAAATCTATTTACAATAGCATTTGAAAAAGAAGAAAAGAAAATAGAGATGAAATAGTACCATAGTGACTGAGAACACATCAGTGGATGCTTAGGGCAGAGGATCAGAAGAGGCCTGAGTGCAAAGAGGCCAGAGGAAACTTCTAGGACAATGAAAATGGTCTGTATCCTGATCAGGGTACACGGAGATAGTGAGGATAACACTCATTAAAAGTTCCACTTATAATGGGTGCATTTAGATTGTATGTATATTATATCTCAATAAAATGGATTGGATGGGGGACACAAAGCAAGGCAAAAAATATGTACCACTAGGGACTGAGGGTTAGTGATAGAGCATGTGCCTAGCCTGTGTAAGACCCTGGTTCTAACTCCAGCATACACACACACACATTTAAATATATGTACCATGTGTCAAGTTTAAAGGTGAACTGCATGGACGGTTACACATGGAGACCAGTAAGGTGTCCTTGGTCCCCTGCTGGTAGGGTGGGAGGAGAAGAGCTTGTCTGGATGTTTTGTAACCAGGTCAGGTTTTTTCTTCCTTGTTCTGGGGGTTGAGGCGAGGACTTCATGTGTGTTAGACAAGTGTTCTACACTGAGCACCCCCAGCCCTTCCAGTCCAGTTGTGAAGGGCTTGTGGCTTCCTGCTGGCCTACTGCAGGCCTCCTCTTGTTTCTCTTGACTTTGGTTGTCAAACCTCTAATTGATTCTTTAATCCTTATTTTTTCTGCAAAAAGCTGCTGGCTATGGGAAAAGCATCCCTCCCACCCTCTATTTGAGGTTCCATTTCTATGCCAGAAATTGTAAGGAGCATTTTGGTTTTGTAGAGAGCTAAAGGCTGGGGCAGGACTGGTTTCTCTCTCAGGAGGCCTCACGTAGATAGAAGAAGAGGAAACAGTAAGGCGTACTTCTGCCCAGGGGAAGCAGGGGCAGGTGGTGGTGTGTGGGGCAAAGGACAAATGCCCCATCGGCCACTGCACTCCCTCTTTTCATTTTTCCATAATAGATCCAGCCTGAGCCGTTTCCAGTGACAGTCCTCATGAGACTTTGCAAGCCAAGCCTTCTCTTTAATGAAAGAACGGCGTTGTTTTGTGTCTCCAAGGAAAAACTATAGCCTGTGAATCTCTGTGCCAGCTAGGCTGGAACTGGACTCTCTTGTGAGCTCTTTTT